CTTCGACACACCAGTCTCACCATGCCTCAGCCATGCTTTCAGAAACCCTCTCCTCCCCTCGCTTTATTAGTGGGATGCTTTGTGTCCATCTGCTCTTTGTCACCTACACATCCATGCAGGTCCGTGCACATCTACATCACCTTTAACTCGCACCTCAGCGTTAATAAGGTGCAGACACAGTGAAGTTCTAGAGAAGCTCTAGGTCTGAATCTCAGAAATGAAGCTACTGTCGTACCTTTGAGAATTAACCTGAAACATCCAGCAGAAATGTGTCATGAAGCTCTGGGTCACGGTGGGGTTCAAAGGCACCTCAAAGGCAGCAGCAAGGGCGGGCAGAGAACAGAGGCAGAGCGAGGCAGAGCGAGGCAGAGCGAGGCAGAGGCGCAGGTGAGTGGGCACCGGAAGTGACGTCAGCAGGATGCCCCATCTGATCAGATCATCGCCCGTGGCTCAGAACAGCATGTCTAATAAAAGACCAGTATGCTTCCTGTTTTCATGTCAAACTGTAACCCACAGCACAAAAACAAAGAGGAGAGTCACTGTCAGAGATGGGGCCGGAAACAGTGCTTTTAGAGTGTGCGTGGAGTGCGCGCACACACACACACACACACACACACACACACATACAAATACACACACACACACACAAATACACACACACTCGTTTGTATTCACATCACTGGAGTACTGTCCATTCATTTCTAGGGGAAAAAACTAATCCCAACAATGACAACCTTAACCCCTAGGTGACTGGCTCAGAAGGTTAAGTCTCTGTGCCTGTGATCAGAAGATCATGGCTTTGAGCCCCAGCCTTGGTAGAACAGTCACATGTCTGTGGGCCCTTGAGTAAGGCCCTTAACCTCCAGTTGCAGGGGCACTGCATGTTAGCTGACCCAGTGCTGTGACCCCCAAGCTATGGAGAGCAAGATCAGGCCAGTGAAGTGAAGCATTCTAATGTGTACTTGTGCAAATGGCAAATATAGCATGTTTGTTGTCTTGTTTTACCCAGCCCAAACCCTATCCATGAATAACCAACAAAATTCAAGACGATTTGCATTTTTAGCTTTTTGATTGCAGTCACAGATTTTAATAAATTTCCCCTTGTGATGATCAGAAAGAAGGTCCTCGCAACATCAAAATGACAGTTTCTTATCACATAGTGGGGATATTTGGTCCCTACTATGTAATATTTACATGACCCCCCCCCCACACACATATACCATACTTGACATCCTCCCCCATGGACACTGGATCTCAGGTCTGTGTGGACAGAGATGTCCTGTGGGGGCACTGAGTGACAGACAGGCCTATTCATCTGCAAATGGGCTTTCATTACTACACAGATGGGCATAGAGATGACACCCCCCCCAACAGTTAATAACCTACTGCATTGTGTTCGTATGGAGGAATAATTACAAGGGGAAAAGGAGGTGGCTGAGGTAGAGACAGAGGGAGAGGGAGGGAGAGAGAGAGAGAGAGAGACAGAAGGAGTTAGAGAGAGGTAGGGATAGAGAGAGGGAGGTAGAGCGAGTAAAAGAGATGGAGAAAGTGAGAGAGAGGGAGAGAGAGGGTGAAAGAGAGACAGAGGGAGTGAGAGATGGAGGGACAGAGGGAGGGAGAAAGAGATAGAGGGAGTGAAAGAGATGGAGGAACAGAGGGAGGGAGACAGAGATAGAGGGAGAGAGAGGGAGGGAGGGAAAGAGAGGGAGATGGAGGTAGAGAGAGATAGAGGGAGAGAGAGGGAGATAGAGGGAGAGGGGGGGAAGGAGAGAGGGGTAGATGGAGGCAGAGAGAGCGATAGAGGGAGAGAGAGGGAGATGGAGGGACAGAGGGAGAGAGGGGGGGAGGGAGAGAGGGGGAGATGGAGGCAGAGAGAGAGATAGAGGGAGAGAGAGGGAGATGGAGGGACAGAGGGAGAGATGGAGGCGTCATGGGCAGCAGAAGCCGGCAGCAGCCTGCAGTCAGGGACACGCCTGAGCAGTTTGGATCATGGGGGGGGCGGGGTTAGTGCTCAGCAGCCCCTCCCACTTTGGTCAATATGTCTTTTCCCCACAGCTCACCCCTCATCATCCTACCCCCCTCATGGCCGCAGGCTCAGGGTCCAAGCAGAAGGGGGCAGCTTTTGGAGAAAAAGTGCTGCTGTACTGCTCTGCGCTGTGGGGGGGAGGGCGGATACCAGATGTGCTGGTGTTGCACGTGATGCGGATGTCCCCCCCCCCAGCCACAGTGGGCTCTCTGTGCCCTCTAAGAAGTACGTCCTTGTCCCGGTGGCAACCGGACACTGAGCCGCACACTGCATCTGCCCTGTGTGGGCGTCGGGCTGTCGCTCTGTTGCCACGGCAACTTCCTCCCAGCCGTGTGACCCTCCCTGCTTGCGTGTCAGAGACTGCGGTGGCAACAGCCGTTAGAGCCCCCCTGTCCCCAGGACACGTGTTGGGGGCTGGCCCAACGCCCTTCGGCTACACCTGTGAGCGGGAGGCTGCAGGAAACACAGCACTAATTTGCGGGGGGAGCACCCGGACGGACAAGGTGGGGGGGTGGGGGCGCAGAGTCACAGGCCTGGCTCTGTCACACTCGCTGACTCCACACTGAGATCGTGTCACACTGAGACCAGGTCACACTAAGATCGTGTTACACTGAGACCGGATCTCACTGAGGCAGGGTCGCACTGAGATCGTGTCACACTGAGACCAGGTCACACTAAGATCGTGTTACACTGAGACCGGATCTCACTGAGGCAGGGTTGCACTGAGATCGTGTCACACTGAGACTAGGTCACACTACAATCGTGTTACACTGAGCCTGGGTCACACTGAGACCGGATCTCACTGAGGCAGGGTCGCACTGAGATCGTGTCACACTGAGACTAGGTCACACTATAATCGTGTTACACTGAGCCTGGGTCACACTGAGACCGGATCTCACTGAGGCAGGGTCACACTGAGACCGGATCTCACTGAGGCAGGGTCGCACTGAGATCGTGTCACACTGAGACCAGGTCACACTAAGATCGTGTTACACTGAGACTGGATCTCACTGAGGCAGGGTCACACTGAGGCAGGGTCGCACTGAGGCAGGGTCGCACAGAGACCAGGTATCACTGAGATTGGGTTGCGCCGAGACTGGGTTACACTGAGATCGAGTCACACTGAGAATGGGTCACACTAAGGCCAGATGGTACTAAGATTAGGTCACACTGAGACCAGATTGCACTGAGACTGGACTGCATTGAGATCAGGTTGCACTGAGACCAAGCTACACTTAGATTGGGTCACACTGAGTTTGGGAGACTAAAAAACATTATTAAAACAATGCAGCCCGAATGCTGTTGAAAAGGCCACTGTGACGTAAAGGCCTGCTGGTGAAAATGCCACTGTGACGTAAAGGCATGCTGGTGAAAAGGCCACTGTGACGTAAAGGCCTGCTGGTGAAAAGGCCACTGTAACTTAAAGTCGTACTGACTCCTTTAGCCTGAGCACTGGGTCAGGGTCAGGGTGAAAGCTCACAGTGCCGACAGCAGGGGGAGACGGTAGTCTGTCACATTCGCGGGTTTCCGCCATCATGGCGGCTTGTAGTACCACGACGGAAATAAATGCACTAACAAAGAAAAAGCACACGTGTCCAGGCGCACAAAAATATCTGACAGGATACAAAAATAACCCAAGCACCCTGACACCTGCGCCTGCACCCACACCCACACCTACACACAGGTGGCAGGAAGTCAGGCTGCGGGAGGGTGGGGGGGGGGGGGGGGGGGGCACAGAGCAAGAAAAATCAGACTGCTGCGGTCACAGACGCTGTCTGCGAGTGAGCGTGCGTGCGTCTGTGTGAGGATGTTTGTGAGTGTGTGTGCCAGTACCAAGCTTGGGTTCATCCCCACGCAGTCTAATGCCCCAGTTATAGGGGCAACAGTGGAACCCAGGGCAAGGAACCTGGAATACAGAACCCTGAGGGGAAGCCCTTGTACCTCACTCTGTCCCACCATGTGCTGTTCAAAATTGGGGGGGGGGGGCAATATCTGCCTCACACTGCCCAAGGAGGAGTAATTATGTGTCCAAAAGCCAGAGCCCTGCAGTGACAACGGGGGGAGTCGAATCTGCCTGCTAACCCACATCCTCCTTGTGCTTTATGTTATTCATCTAGAGGAGGTTGAGGCAGCAGCGCACTTGACTCATGCTGACCAGACCAAACTGCAATTGCAAGCTAGACGTGTTCTGATGTACTGCCACCTGCTGGCCATAAGCCTATACTGGAACCATTTACCTGATAAAATGACATATGATGTAATAAAGAAAAGCAAAAAGACAAGCAAAGCTGATATTATAGCAAAGTACATGAGACTATAGAGCAGGCAGAGATAAAAAGCGTGAAATCAAATATCTCTGCGACACGTTCCATATAAAATTCAGCAGTTATTGCACTGCATGTAGAAATGATGCTTGTTTGTGTAGTTTTATTTTTAGCCACAAGATGGAGCCAGAGGACTTGCAGTTGCATACGGGCAATAAAAGGTTAATGAAGCAGCCCCCAGAATCGACCCGGTATAGGTACCTGTAAACGAACCACCCTGTACTGCTGCAAGTTTGAGTTTTGTTTACTGGAACAGCAGAGACACTGAGGTGGGAAATCACCCTACAGAGGCATGACATCATCCACACACACATCTGAGATGACGTTCCCTGAAGGCAGGGCACAAATTAATAACATTTCATTAAATAAAACTTTTACATAGCTCCCCCAACAGCAATAACGTGAGTCATGCCCCCCTCCCCATCTTAAACACCTTTAATTTGCTGGGTTACACTGAGACTGGGCCTCTTAAAGGCTCTATTCTTCAAAATTCAGAATAAAATGTCCAATCATGAGGCCTCTTAAATTTGGGAGACTGAAACAGCATCATTAAAACTAGACGGCTCATTTGGCCTGAGCACAGGGTCAGGGTTATGGTGACCGCTTGCAGTGCTGTCAGCAGGGGGCGCCATTAGTTTGTCCTTACTCACAAGCTTCCGCCATCATGGCTCCGCTGAAGGGGGGTGTGGGTCACCAATGGTTTTGGGTACCTTCTTCACATCCCGCTGTAGTTTTTTCTGTGATTGACTGTCAGAGCTGCTGTACCGTGCTGTAATAGGAGATGTAATGTTAGATTCGATAATGGCTGCGTAGAGCAGAATGATAAGTTGACACCTGATCCTGTATTTTTCAGCTGCCTATAGAGGTATCTAGGTTATTGTTGAGCTTTTGCAATAATGTGTTCAATATTAGTCCTCCACTTCAGGTTATTGCTAATGTATGTTGGGAGGAATTTAGAGGAGTTGCTGATGCCCACGGCCTGCATCTGCCAGGACCTCACAAACCCTCAGGCACCGCTGTGGGCACCTCCGCAGCCTGCATCTGCCAGGACCTCATAAACACACAGGCACCGCTGTGGGCACCTGTATTTGCCGGGAATTCACTGATGTAGGACATACATAGGAGTGTGTTTGCCAGATGTGGGGGAGCAGCCACTTGGGCGGAGTCCCATTGTTTGTGCCCCCTGCATTGTTCGTAATGTGTGCATAGGGGTGTGAAGACCATGGGAACATCACGGTAACATCACGGTGCCCTTTGCAGGCCTCCTGATGCAGTGCAGAGGGTGCTGTATGTGTTGCATTCACTCCTGTCTTTATCATCTTCTGCTTGAGCTCAGGATAGAGCAGAAGGAGCATCGTTTGGACCCCCACCCTGCTGCCCTCACTCTCAAACACATTAGAAAGGCTCAGATTGAGAGGGGCAGGCATTGGGGGGGGGGCAGCTGGGATTTGGGGGGGATGAGCTAGAGCTCTGTGAAGAGGCGGGGCTGCAAGGGGTGGCGTTTAGAGGCTTAACTTCCTGTGAAACATTGTAGCAGTGGCTCACAAGTAGGTCACAGCGGGTGGGGGGGGGGCAGACCTCAGCTGCACAGTAGCATGCTGGGTAATTTACTGCAGAGATATTGGGAGGCAACCCTCAGTACTGCGCAGTGTGTAACTGAACTCCATGGGCACAAGCAACATACACACTGAGCATGAACACACACTCACACATGCGGTATACACACTGAGCATGAACACACACTCACACATGCGGTATACACACTGAGCATGAACACACACTGGAACACGGACACACTGAGCATGCAGACCCCTGCGCACTGAGCCACACGCTTCTCCCATGGGCTGGTATACGCTGTATCAGATGCTGTATCAGAGGCAGCTCAGGAACCCAGGTCAGTAAATCTGTCGGATTGCAGCCGCTAGCCTGGGTGTCCCTGTTAAGCGGGATCACCACAGAACCCTGTGTGGTTCAGATCGGAACCTCCTGGAGGCCACTCCATGCCATGCACGAAGGCTATCTGACATACTGGGCTGATGGTTTTGAGGGGATTTGCCTCTCCCCATCAGCAGAATTCACCCTGGGCTCATTTATGTGAGCTGCCTCTATCTGGGCAAAAGTCCAAGGCCCGTTTTCAATGTGAGTGAAGCCCAGAATCACAGGGTAACACAGCCTGTCTGCCGAGAGCCGCCAGCCACTGCAGGATAGCCCTGCAGCCATGGATGGGCAGGCCAGACACCCAGGGGTTAATATGGAGAGACACTCAGAGCAACAGTGCAACCCTGGTGGGGGGATCATGGCATCAACACACACACACACACACACACACACAGACACGCAAACAAATGGACTCCACACAGGTGGCTGTTCCCCCACACCTGGCATGAAGACAGGACACAGACTTGCCATTTCCAGCGAAGACAACATGAAGAGAAAGAAAAAAAATAGAGGAATGGAGGAACAGAAGGATCTGGAGGAGGGCAGGTCAGGGCCCACCGCCAGCAAGCAGCCGCAGAGCACGGGCACAGAGTCCATGCCGCAGATAAACACTGAGACAGAGTGACCAGGAGACAGGCGGGGAACACAGCACCTGGCAGGGCCTCTGATGCAGGCACACAGACAGACAGACAGGCACACAGACAGACAGACAGGCACACAGACAGACAGACAGACAGGCACACAGACAGGCACACAGACAGACAGACAGACAGACACACAAAGCGCAAAATACAGACACATTTGTGAAACGCAGAGTTTCGCTCTCTTTCACTTCTTCTCTTCTCTCCTTTTCTTTGTGTGGGGTGGGTGTGTTTGGCATTTCTAGCCCATTATTCCCCTCACAAGATGCAAACAGAGCTGGCCTGTGCAGAAATGATGATGGTGTGGGGGGTGCAGACGACTGTGGAGCCGCACAGTCTGTCCTTTGCCTTCCTCTCTTGGGCTGCTAGACAGACATGGTGCTTGGCTCCTTAGCCGGTGTTGTGGCACCAGGATGCCGCACAGCATCATGGGAGCACTGGAATTTTGGCTGGGGAGTGATGGTGTCTGGGAGGGGGATGAAAGAGGAGGCATGGACGTGAGGCTGGGCACACAGTGCCCACACTGCTGATTTTCCCACAATGCCCTGCTCTCTCATTCTGCTTGAACACATGGGGACGAAGGTTGGGGTTACAGGGAGGGTTCCTCAGATCCCCACCAGGTCTGTCGTGGAGTTGAGCCCCCTTCACTGTTCTCACCACAAGCTACCCACAATGCAATGGGGGGAATGTGGATGTAGGTGAGGAGCTGACCGCCGCATCACATCTCTGGGAAGGTCACATGGGAAGAGCACGAGAGAAACCGCTGGCTGTTTGTCCCATTCTTTTCAATTCGAAGCGGTATCCTAGCAACCCTCCGGTTGCCATGGAGAGGCCTTTGGTCACCCATCCCCAGCCTCCTGCCTCTCCCAAGCGTTACAGTCAGCAGGATATTGCCTCAGGTTGTCGAACATCCTCTGCCTGCTCTGACCCCGAGGCCAGCTACCATCGCCATGGAAACCTCAGGAGCCCTTAGTATGGCGGATCATGTTACGCCTAACATCCCAGAACTTAAGATTTGGGGTACAAATTGCCATCTAAGATGTCTCTGTTCCCGGAGCCCTGGCCAGCGAGGCCTCCGCAGTGCCTGCGAGAGGCTGTCAGGAATCCCTCACGCCAACCTCACCACTGCAGTGTCTGCCAATCCGGCACGTTGCTGTCAGCAGTGCAGGCGGCTGTGCAGACGTCCGGTACGAGATGCAGAGAAGAAGTGAGGACAAAACGGAAAGCAGGCGCCTAACTTTCATGGAAAGCTATTTAAAGGGATAAAGTTTTACAGCAAGGGACCACACCACTGCTAGGAAGAGACTTGTGCTATCATCCTCAGAACTGCAAGAGTTAAAAAAAAAAATTAAAAAACAGCCAGTGTTGGGACAGGGTGATTTTTTTCGGAAAGACAGGTCATCTGCTATTTCAGTACTGGAGGGTGGGCCGTAAATTCTGGCTCCACATACAATACAGGTTCAGTCTTACGTTTAAATCACAGAGCGACCATAGATGCGCAAACTTCTCGCAACCGAATCTAACCTAAAGCTCGACCATGTATTAATAAAAACGACAACACTGTAATACGGTGCTGATTTCGTTTGAGACAGTAATAAGGAGTCCGTATACGAGGCATTATTTGAAGAGAGGCGCTTTCCCGTCGTCACCCCGCCCAAGGAGCCCGGCCGCCCCCGCCGCGGAGCACCGCAGACTGCACGCTGTTACCCTTCTCGTTTCCAGGGTGTCCGTGAATCGAACAGGACTACCGTACCGGAAAGAGGGAGGGAGAGAGGGATGGAAGGAGAAAGCAACGGCGCTATAAAGTGGGCGTGGCATCAGGGCAGCGAGCGGAACCCTATGAATATTCATGAGGCCACCTCGATATTAACTGTGTGGGTGAATATGACATTGGCATGAAAGCCTATGCTGTGGCGGAGGGAAATTCAATTAAAACAAATATTCACAATAAGAAGTCATTTAGGCATGCAGATGGCTTTCCTGCTGCCCTCAAAGCAGAACTCATTTAAGGCAAAAAATAAAACAATTACGCTGGAAATATACAAATCAAAGGTACAGAAAGGGAATTACGGGCCCAGATGTTATTTTTTTTCAGTAATTAGAAACATGCTTCCCAGTTGCTAAAAGGCATGGTTCTGTCATAAAATGTACACCAACTGGCAAATTAAACTAACCGCAGTGAGACGCTGCCAGAATGTTTTCAAATATCAGCTTTGGCATTTATGTATTTCAATGCATTTCGCGATCAACGTAATTAAGACATTTTTATTAATTTTCTAAAAGTATTTATTTTTGGTTCACATATGTTATTCACTATATCATGACGATTTATTTTTACAATTACCCTAATTTTCATTAATTTTCAAAATGCAGCAAAATACTGTAGCGCCCGGCGAACCGAGGCATCGCGAGAGCAGCGAAAACCAGGGAGATTTGCTTGCCGGGACAGAACACGCTCTTTATTCTCGTCCTGAACAGGACTGTACACGCCACGATCGGGAAGGCAACTATAACCATAACAACAATACAAGAGCTATTTACAGTTACAGACAGGGGCTTTTTACAATTGCTCATAAGCATGCCAGGATATGACAACTGACAGTGCTACACTGCCCCCCTCGCAATGGTCGACCATCCCGGTAACCACCACCCCCAGTCCCCACCTCAGTTCTGAAGCGAGTCCCAGGGGTCCGGCAGCTTGCAGCTCTTCTGGGCCAGCTAAGCTTCCAAGCCACTACACGCATCCTCCCGGCCAAACGGTGCCATCTCGCGGCCCTGTAATGCCACCTAAAATGCCTCGGTCAGGCACGCCTGGTGGTCACGCTCCTGCTCCCAGCTGACCAGCTCGCGCTACTTGTAGCACGCCTCTTCCCTACTGAGCAGAGCAGCCTCAGCTTGCTGCCTCTGCTGGCTGCACTCGCAGCTGGGGTCGTGCTGCTCCTTGCGGCTGGCGAGCAGTGAGCCTTGGCTGGCTGGCGAACAAGCTCAGACAGGGAGTGAAAGGGCTGGCAGGAATGGCTTTGGGGTGTGCTGGGGCAGAACAGGGCTCTGGTGGGCCCCGCTTCAGGGCATGCCACACGGGTCCAGGTCACCTCAGAAATACAGAGCGGCACAAGACATGGGCAAACACTCGCACAACGTGCAACACACAACCACAACCATTAATATTAACAACAACAGCAGCAGCTAT